CGTTGAGCAAGTTCTTGTACAGGAATTGGCTCACCATACACACTGTAATTCAAAATCAGAACAACAAATTAAAGAAAACAATACCAGATTAACTAGCTCAATACAATACACAATCATACACAACGAAAATAGCTGAGTGGATGAATATATATAAAAAAAATATAAAAAAAAAAATAAAACAAACGGGACAAATATAAAATGAAACCTCTCATAGTTAGTTGCTTCAGATTTTGCTCTTGCCACAATTTGCCTGCCATCTGCAGCTAGTCCAGCAACAGCCTGCAAAAGGATGGACATCAGCCAGGAAGCACAATAAAGGCTTTCTGCAGCCCTTTGAAAACTGTGATGACATCTTATAACATTTATTGAATATGAAAGACCAACACTATAACATATTCAGCTGTTGATTCACTAATTTTCTCAATCTAAACCTCCGATTAGAGACTACTCAACAGATAAAACTTCAACTGAGACTAACAATTGCAACACCCCACTTGATTCTTACAAAACGAAGTCCGTTTCACTGGACTACATTTCCAGAGGGAAACGGTTGTCAATTCTTACGAAAGCTATTTTACATTGGTCCTCTCAACAATGTTATCTCGTGAACTATTGGAAATGAATTTCATCCACTCAGAGCAATACATGCAAAAAACTTACCAAATACCAATATTACTTATAACAAAAACCACAACATAAAAACAAAATGGCAAGCTAGTCATCTGGTAAAGAAGTCTCTAATTTCAGTAAAGGCCATCCTAAGCTCTTCAAAATCCTTCCTAATAGCCTCTAAAGCTCAACAGACTCTATGGAAAACAAAAATTCATCACCCTACCTTCGTTATATATACCTCCTCTCAATATTCTAACGACAAAAACAAAATGAAGAAAAAACCGAATACAATCAAAACCGATCCACACCGGTACACAATCAAGCTCAGCAGCAACTTGACAAGATTCACATTAGATACCCACTGAATTACATCTAATCAACAATAACTTGAGTATATACGTTGCAAGAGGGAGATATAAGGACACAATACCATGCCCGAATGCCGATGGACGGAGTGGATTCTCCTGTTGGACCCGGGCAACATCATCTTCGAAGCAATCAGCTTTTCTACTCCCTGCAATCACCACAACAAGCAAAATAAAAAACCCTGTTCAAAACCCTAGCAGGTTAAGAAGAAGTTTCGAGCTCGAAATCTGGGCCGGCGTACCATAACGACCCCATCCTTGCATCTGATGCCCACCACAGTGCCGCTGTTGTCGACGGCCTTCGCCGCGTATTCGATCTGGAAAACGCGGCCGTCCGGCGAGAATGTGGTCACCGATAGATCGTAGCCAGTGCCTATGCTGCTCATTTTCCTTCGTCACTGTCTTTGGCTAATCGTTTTCTCTGTGCTCTGTGTGCTCGTTTTTTTTGTCAGTCTCTCTTTGGTTCAATTTTAGGGATTTTGGTTTTTATTTCATGGTTTTTGCAGAGGAGAGTGTTTTCTTTATTGACAAGACAGAAAAATAAACTAAAATAAA